GCCTATTAGCATATTCCTAGATTGAGTAAAATATTGAACGGTTTTCCTTAAATTCACGAATTTACTGCCTTGGATTACTCTCATTGGCCGTGTATTCGATGTTGCTTGATACAGGCAAAGCGGTAGGGTTGGAGAAATAAGGAAAATTTCATTTCACTACTCCTCCAGCCCAGTCAATGGCAGCAGGCAGTATCGTGTTCGGCGTTCCTGGGGGAGGCACAAAGGTCAGACGAAACTGATAATAAAAATAAAACTTTGTCGCTGCTAGCAGTAATAGGGGAGCGGGATGGTAGACAAGCAGAAATTTTAATAACTATTTCTTGGAAAAGTAAAATCTTTGCCAACTCGTTCATGAGTAGGTATTGAATCGGTTGGCAGTGAGTTTGTTCTCAAGCATTATTCATTTTGTAAAATTATAGGGAAGGTACATACATACATAATGGACACTCGCTGCACAAAAATGAATATTTAGCAGGGATCCATCTTCCTGTCGCTGGAAGACTTTGCCAACAAGCTGCAACCTTGAAGATAACTTGTATTTATTGAATTGAACCGTCAAATGCAGCTATCACAGTGCAGCGAAAGCAATTGAAAGTTTGCCTAGTACCTCGTTGGGAGTAGTTATGTAGTGAGCAAGTTTAAGATAATAGAAAAACAATACAACATCTTTAAAGTTTAATCATTCTTGACAAGGAAAAGGAGTACTGCGATCGTCGGTTAAAGGGTGATACGGTCAAAATTTGGTCAATATCAACTTGACGTATTTCTTTCAATTTTGCATTTAAAAAACCTGAACACCCCTCATTTTGAAGGTGTGTGTGTGTAGAATGTTGCTCCTATTTTGATTTTGGAATTCACTCTTCAGTTGTCAAAATGCCGTCCAAGCAAGAAGAGCAGCGTATCAAAATTTTGCTCGCGCATCGCGAAAATCCGAGCTACTCGCACGCAAAGTTGGCAAAATCGCTAAAAGTTGCCAAATCAACCGTTACAAATGTAATTAAAGTGTTTGGGGAACGTTTGTCGACAGCCAGGAAGTATGGATCGGGGGGAAATCGAAAACCGGAAGCCGCTGAGACGACAAAGAGAGTTGCCGGTAGTTTCAAGCGAAACCCTAACCTCTCTCTCCGAGATGCCGCAAATAAGCTGGGTGTATCGTCTACAACCGTGCATCGAGCCAAAAAACGAGCCGGACTATCGACTTACAAGAAGGTAGTGACTCCAAATCGCGATGATAAACAAAATACGACGGCCAAAGCGCGATCCCGGAGGCTGTACACGACGATGCTGACGAAGTTTGACTGCGTGGTAATGGACGACGAAACCTACGTCAAAGCCGACTACAAGCAGCTTCCGGGACAGGAGTTTTATACGGCAAAAGGAAGGGGAAAGGTAGCAGATGTTTTCAAGCACATGAAACTGTCAAAGTTCGCAAAGAAATATCTGGTTTGGCAAGCCATCTGTACCTGTGGCTTGAAAAGCAGCATTTTCATAGCTTCCGGGACTGTCAACCAAGAAATTTACGTGAAAGAGTGTTTGAATAAACGTCTGCTGCCTTTCCTGAAGAAACACGGTTGTTCCGTACTGTTTTGGCCGGATTTGGCATCTTGCCATTACGGTAAAAAGGCCATGGAGTGGTACGCCGCCAACAACGTGCAGGTGGTTCCCAAGGACAAGAACCCTCCCAACACGCCAGAGCTCCGCCCAATTGAGAAATACTGGGCTATTGTCAAGCGGAACCTAAAGAAGACCAAAAAAACTGCTAAGGGCGAGCAGCAGTTCAAGGCAAACTGGCTTTCTGCGGCGAAGAAGGTGGACAAGGTGGCTGTACAAAATCTGATGGCAGGGGTCAAGCGTAAGGCCCGGCAATTCGGATTTGGAAAAGCGGAAGCCTAACTGAATATTTTTCCTGAATTTTATACTAATTGAACTTGAAAAAGAAATTTAATTTGATTTTTTAAATAAACGATTTCACCGATTTACACGCGTTTTCCCTTGACCAAATTTTGACCGTATCACCCTTTAAACTGACACTGAACAAAACAGTTTGACAATTTATACTCGAATCCAACACGATTGTACTGCCTCTAAGCATCGTTGCTTACCAGCTTCCGTTTTTTTTATATGCTGACAAATTGTAGAAGGAATCGCCTTGATCGGAATTCCCTTGTAATTACAATCAGCACAGCTGCAGCTAAAATTGTTCGTTGGGACAGATCACATACTTTGAGGTGGTTGATGTGGAAATCTCTAATTTGGTGAACAATGTTGCGCGATGAAAAAATGTTACGCAAAATGAAAAATGTTGCGTGACATGTAAAACTAACTACAACGGACGCCATGGCGTCCACAAACATTGTAACGTTGGCCCAAAAGAACACGATCACCATTGGATGAAACCAGAAATGTGAGTTTTCATTCTCTAAAAACGATCAGGATTCAAGCTTTACAGGTGGTGGAAATCCACTAGTGTAAATTTTACCCAAGTCTCTGAAACAATCAGTGATTGGCTGAATTATCTAAATACACTAAAATCTGACATATATCCATTCTTTTTATGATCACAATGCATTGCATTTATTTATTTTTCTTACCAAGCTTTATTTATTCATCATATAAATATGAATTATAAAAATGAGTATTTCCTGTGTTTATCGAAATTCCTTATTACAGTTGTTGTTTATTGTTTGTTTTCCAAATAACTAGGACACACTAGACTGTGCAATTTTTTACGTCTTTAGATGAATTATACATTTTTAAAGACTATGGTCTTAAGACTTTAATTCCAGGTTAAAAATTAAAACTTTTGTTTGGAAGGATCCTAATTCTATTATATTATGGGAAAAATTCTGTTCAGTTGTACAGAAACTTGAAGTCGGAATTAAGATTTAAAAAATGCTTCAATTCCAAGATTTGTAAATTTTTTGTAGTTTGAATTTCTTTATTTTATGCTATGAATTGTGGAAAAATTTGAATTGTAAATGTACAGTATTGATTTAATTTGATTTTGCTTGAGTCCGTATTATGAAAAGATTCATTATTTCGATATAAAATTTGATGAAAACTTCAAAAATACGTAATTTCATGGGATTTTTTTTAGATTTCTTCCATCTTATGTCCGAAGCTTAGAGTTATGGGTGGTTGGTTGGTTATCTTTATGAAGGAGAGTTATCCCGGAAGACTAGAAATCACATTTCGTGGCGATTCCAAGGCTAGTCGGCCTTAAGATGACCTATAAGTCCTCAGTATTACCATTAAGATCTTAAATTTCTCTGTATGAAATTTTCTGATTTTATCCGTTGGATGTGACATTTGAGGGGTATTGACTTGTCAACGCCTTCAATAATTTAAATACTTTACAAGATGTATTGTATTTTTACATAATTAAACGCTTAATGTCCATACTTCAAAAAAATATGTGCTACATACATAAAAAGAAGTAAAACTCATTTTGTATATGTGAAACAAATAGAAGATAAAAAAAATAAATAGCTAATTTTATGAGGTACCCTAATTTAAAATTATCTAATTGCTCTAACACGGTCAAAAGAAGAGTTAGAAAAATGGCGTCTTAAGCAAAGTTGCCTTAAATTACATTTTCCACAACTTAATAAATTAGGCAACCAAAAAAAAAAAAAAGTTCCAAAATTTAATTTTGAATGGAGACTAATTAAGTCTCGCAACAAAAAAAAAAATAATTTCAAACAACTTCATTAACGTGAATTGAATAAATAATTGTGTCAATATTTATTCCTGTATTGGACCATAGTGTCTATTTCATGCTTGTTCCTATTATCAAGGCCTCTCTGAACTCTTTCAGCATTTCTTCCAATTAGACGATTTCAATGTGTTACGGAATCGAGGAAATTAAAATGTAATGAAGTCGTTTTTGTGCAATGCGGGATGAGGAATGTTATCCGCATCATTAGAACAGCATCTGAGCAGAAATCGATTTTCCCAAGTACCTAGTGTTGATGATATTTCCAGACTAGCTTCGTTCGAGGTGAACCTGCTGATGATGGTGTATAATTATGGTTTTTGCCTCACGTTATTGAAAAACTCAGCTCCAGTGGAAGGAAATTTTTGATTGCTACTGCTTAATGAGTCAGTGGTAGTTGGAACGTGCAGTACTGAAAGGTTTTCTGGTAGCAGATGAGAATCATATGCGTAATAAGTGTAGTTTACGCAAATTTGCGTAACTGTTCTGCGTAACGCATTGATTTCACACAAGACTAATCAAGTGAGTGGTATAATTAAATGTCATACGTTTAAAAATCTATACTCAACATCATCTTACTGTAAAGCGTGACTGCTTTCTCATCCCAATGGGTCTGGGTTCAATCCCAGCTGAGGTCGGTGGGATTTTTTAAGGCATAAAAATCTCTGCTCACGTCTTCCTTTGGATGGGAAGTAAAGCCGTTGGTCCCAGCCCATTTGAATGGGTGCGATATCCTACGCAGGTGTGGAAGCTGCCTTCCTGCACATTCGATTGCCGTCAATGGATGGCAATCGATGTCCGTCGGTGATTGGCACTAGATTGCGGAACCGAGACCGACGTTAAATAAATGAATGAAGATCATCTTACTGTAATGCAATGTAGCCGTTCACCAATAAAATGATTTTGATTCATATTAAAGCGATCACGATGGCATCAAGAAAGACTGAAATAATATAAATCTGGGCTGTTTAACCGTTTCCCACTCTGAAATTTGCATTGGAGCTCAAACATTAATTTTTAAATCAATAGAATTTAAGAAATTGATGTGCCCTATAATTAAGTAATATATAATTATATTATAATTAATATAATATATCATATTATATTTCACCAAGTCTAAATAACTTTTCATCAGGCAGAAACTAATGTTATTCAGAACATACTTCCTTGATTTATATAATGATAGTGATTATGCATGATTCGAATCACTTGCATTAGCCAGCGTAGAAAAATAAATTCTGTCGTGATGATAGGAATCTTTTATATAAAAACATATGAGGTTTCTTATCGCTTCATTTCATCGTGAGCTATCGAGCCTTGCAGTCATCTCAGTTCCTCGAGTATATACTTCATGATGAGTGGCAAGTTTCTAGTAGTCCTCGTCGTCACAGCTTTCATCATCGGAGGTAAATGTGGAAGTTCGGGATTGAAACGTTCTTAAATTTCATCAATCTCTTAAATTTAATTATCAGCTACACAAGCCATGCCGGCAGAACTTGTGGCGCTAATGTTGGAATACCAGGAGCAATGCATAGCCGTGACCGGATCGGAGGAAGGATTTCAGCAAATGTTGGGTACGTTTCAAATGGCAAGGACCTGCTTACTAAGTCATCTGGATGAGCAGCAGTTGCAGATAGATGCCATGCAACTTACCTACGAATCAAGAAAGCCTTTTTTCGATAAGTAAGCTTAATTTAGAAGTGACGCGATATTATCAACGTTGACATGTGATCCTATGTTTGTTTTCCAGATATTGTCCTAAGTTTAACGAACAGATCAGCTGTTTTGATGATACGTTAGAAGGAATTGCCAAATGCATTACTGATGATGTCGATAAGTTTAAGGCAATAATAAAAAGCATAGCTTATGATTTGTTGGATCTAGCGTGTCAGAACGATGGACAATTATTTTTTGGTACAATCCAAAGGTAATATGAACTTGAGTGGTCAAGATAATTGCAATTTGCTTCGTTTTGCAGACGCTCGAAAACCTGGATTTAAAGATTGTATGATCCAGCTTAAAGAGCACGGTGCTCAAGAATGTAAGCTTTCGAATTCAACAACGGAGACGCTTATTTCGAGATATGATGAACAACAATGTCGGTAAGAAATACAGTTTAGTGTTATTTGCATCAGTATAGATTAATGATTGGATAATATCTATTCGTTTCAGAGAATTATATGACGCCAAAGAATGTCTCAAAAGAAAGATAGACGAATGCGATGCTCCAAAGGTCTTTGATATTATTCAAGTCGTCTTTAATGCGATATCTAAGGCGAACGATTGCAAGCAGGTTTGTTTAGCCATGTATTTGCTTACATGTTGTGATTGTAATAGGATTGATTTTTCCTCTGCTTTTCAGCACACTACTTTTCGTGAAATCCTCAGCAATAATATTGATGGAACCGTGTCTGAAAACTAACCTGTATTTGTTTTGGAGTAATCTTTCCCGTTTTTGGCAACACAACCTCATCAGTTATTTTTTCTCCAATTTTGTATCAATCAACTCTCCATATCTTTATATCGAAGGGACCATGGAGACGTGGAGAGATCGAGGTATAGAACAAAAAAAGCCTACGATACCATTTGAAGGGACCGTGATAACCATCGACATTAAGGAAAAAGTGGTCACATATCGAGATATAGAACATTGAGATGAGGAGAGTTGACTGTAATTCTTTCTGGATACATTTTAATACAATACCAGCCTTCTCTGATCCCAAAAGAACTCAAATAGTAATGTCATAAATTGAAATTAGTTTTCGATGAGAAAATGTAGTAACCAAAAAACATGTGTTGTCAAGAAATAGAAGGCGCTGTATAAGTTACATCCATCAATGATAATCTCAACAAACTAAATACATAACAATGACAGATAATGGTCATGTGCATGATCATGTTGTTCCCAAATCACTTGTAATTATTACACAGAGAACGAACACCGCCCCAATGCTTGGGACTAAACTTATATCCTGAATGCTTAAAACTGGTGATCTAAAACTTTACAATAGGTAATACCAGTTCCAGCCGCGTCCTTATGCAGGTAAATTAGGGAATGGGCAGGAAGTCTTAGGGGGCATCATAGCCTAGTCAGTAAAGGCACGGCATTACCAAGTTGGAAATTTTCTCAACTTTCTTGGGCACAGAATATCATTGTGCTTGCCACACAATATACAAATTCATGCATTGGTATTGGCATCGAAAGCTCTCAATTAATAACTGTGGAAGTGCATCTAGAACACTAAGTTGAGAGCACGCAATAAGCTAATATGCGCTAATCAATAAGCTCGAAAATGCAAATAAGAAGAAGAAGCAGAAGGTCTTGACATGATATTGGATTTGTTCATGCTTTGAACATGCTATCCATGTAATCCATCAATTCTATCGGATAAAGGTACACAAGAATCATCGTGGTGGTTTAATTTGGCGAAACAACATTATAGACATGTACTAGAATATTTTTTAATTGAAACGAACTCACCAATTCAATCCATGATGGACGCCTAATGATGCGAGTCCATACGCTATGAATTCAAACTGCGCCAGCTTTGCATTGAATTGGTCCAGAAATGGATAAAATAAAAACCATAAATATTAACTTTTCACACTTCCCAAAATTGACTGGCTCAACAGCTGCAAATCTCAACAATGACATAGTCGGGAAGAATAAATGTCAAAGGTGTTGTGAGGTAGCTTTCATTAAGTACGTCACGCGAAATTCAAGAATCGTTTTTACTTTTCTTTGTCATTTTTTTTCTTAAACCTTATGAATTGCTTATCACAACTTTAATAATATTTAATAAATCCCTCTACCCCCATGGAGCGTGTTGTTTTTAATGGATCGCCCCTAACATTTATTGATCATCTTACACATGCTAACTAACGGGTCCAGTGCTGTGCCACAGTGGTCCCAAAGCCGTATTTAGGAAGACAATAATGTTTACGCTTAATAATTGTTTCTTTCGATAATTTTTTATAAGTTTTGGCCAATTTGCTGATGCAAGTGAAAATAAGGGGTCGCTGTAGTTTTTGAGTTATATACATCGACTTTATAGTTATTTAAGATATACCTGCGCAATTTTCTACAAAGTTGTTGAACAACTCATTTAAAGCAGCTTTTATGAAGATACAAACTATCTATCTCAAATGGCTCTCGTTAAATACTGGTTATAGAAAGATAATCTAGGGTAACTCCTGTTTGGAGATAAACCATATTTAAAATCGCCTGAATAAAGAAAACCAACTTTAGGGTGACCTCTAAAAAATCTGTTTTTACATTAGCTTTTTATACATTGATTTGCTCTAGACGCGTTTTTACTGAATTCAATATGAGTGCAATTTAAAGAAAACTAAAGAATATACTCTCCACAAATTGATCAAAGCCATCGAGCTCACACAAACTTCATGTTTATCATAAAACGAAGTTTGGGATCTCAGCTTTCGATGGAGAAAATTGTAAAATACCATTAAGTTTTTGTGTAAATGCGTAAAAAAAACACTGATGCGTTTTGCACAAAGTCGAGAAAAAAGCTGATTATTTATACACAAATAACATGAACAGTTTGTTAAATCCTTAAACTTACCATAAGCAATGCTCTAGCTATCATTTACTCTGTTTGAATGTTGGAAAATAATTGAAAATGCTTTTGATAACGAATTTCTATCCATTTTTATCACGTTGTGGAGGGTTGAGTTAGTATTACTTTGTCAACTCTTTTGATGATTAAAAGCTTTAATTTATTTACTTTAATTTAGTAGTATAATGCCAATAATACTCAATTATGCTGTTTTGGCCTGTGAAAGTGCCATTCACTCTCAAACCTTTAACGTAAAAAGCTATCCCATTTCAATTGAAAATGTTTGAAGAATAAAAAGATTTTTTTTTAAATCCATTAAAGCTCGTAAGCTCACTTAAGAAGTTTGCGTTTTTAGGTGGATAGAAAAAAAATCTGTTCAGAAATGACGGAGTTATGATCATCGGAGGTCACATCTCTCTTATTTCGCACCATGTTTAACTTTGCTTGAAAGTCATCCTTGAATCATGATTTAAGCCTTAAATATAGTTGGAAAAACCGTTTGCTTATCAAGTAAAACCGTATGCTTACCAAGTACATTAGATATTAGTATACTAGTATCATAATTAGACAAATTTCTAAAAAAAAAAAGGTTTTATGAGAAATCAAACTGACTGTTTTATGTCAAATATGCGATCAACTGAAAATGAAGCCCAAATAAGTTTGTTCAAAGCTGACTATATGTTGTCAACATGATATCCATCCAGCAACAGAAGGAAGTTTTGGATGTACCGGCTACATTACAAACTCCTCCCAGAACCGTTAGGCACATATTAAATTGTGTTTTTATGAAGAAAGTGAGTCAACTTTTGCACTTTTCATACAGTCAACTCTGTCTTGCTCGATCTCTCCCTAACTATATATTACCCCTAACTCGATGGAAATCCTGGATACTTTAACCACTTTTGCAATATAAATTTCCAAAATTTACTTCAACATCATGTAAAGAAGAGTTTTTTTTTTCCTTTGGTTTGTTTTTTCCGTCGATCTAGTTTTCCGTGCTGAGCACCAATGCTACCGACGTGCCAAGAAGGCAGCTCCCACACCTGGACCCTACCTAGCGACCAATCAACTCATGAACCGGGGACCAACGGCTTTACTTCCCATCCGAAGGAAGGCGTGATCAGAGATGTTATGCCTCAGAACATCCCCGCGGCGCCGACTGGGATTGAACCCAGGCCTGCTGGGGTGAGAGGTAATCACGCTTACCACTACTCCACTGGCGCCGTTATAAAGAAGAGTTGACTGTGCAATATTTAAGTCAACGCTTACCAACAAACATTGATAGCTGACTCCAGTCCGCATCGTGCTCTATTGCCGTGCGGATCTATTTACTGTTTGCTGAAGGAAGTGTTACTACTACCTAAAGCTACAACAAATTTAAACAGCACTTTTCAGTGCTCAACCTGTAAAAAAATTTCTACCCTGTTCAACTCTTATTCCTCTTCGATCCTTGTTTGGACCCTACCCGAGGTAATCCTTCTTGGATATCGATTTGGAAAATTCCTCTTCGATCCTTCAGATTCTTATAGTAATCTGCTTGGAAGTCGATTTGGATAAAAAATTTACTGCCGCCATGGCGCCTAAACGCAAAAGAAAGGGGCAAACTCTTGACCCCCCTTCTGATGAAATTAATTTGAGTAATCAATTTGATTTGCTCACGGATGATGAGAATGATCCATCATCCAAGAAAAATTCTAGTAAACTTTCCCGGCTTAATGCCAAGAAGGAAAAGATTCCCCCTATTGTGATAACCACTTCCGATTTCCATGCTCTTCGCATGGAACTTTTGAATTTCGTGAAAGTTAAGTTTTCACTACAAATTGGACGTCGGGGTGAATGCCGTGTATTGGCTGAAACCTTGGATGAATTTAAATGTCTTCTCAAGTATCTTACTGAGAAGAAGCACAAATTTTTTACTTACGACACCAAAACTGAACGTGTGTTCAAGGTTGTCATGAAAGGACTGCCCAGTGGTGAATCCCTGGATCAGATCAAAGATGAACTGGCAAAATTACTTGGAGTTGTGCCACTCCAAGTAATCAAAATGAAAATGAAATCCCGTCCTGGCGATTCGCGCAACGGGATTTCTAATGATTTTTATTTAGTTCACTTCAAGTCTAGTGAACTAAACAACCTTAAGGCCTTAGAAAAAGCTAGCCTTATGCTCCATGTCCGAGTGAAGTGGGAACACTTCAGGAAGACTGGAGGAAATTTCCAAAACCTCACTCAGTGCCGTAAGTGCCAGGGTTGGGGCCACGGAACTAAAAATTGCTACATGCCAGCTAAATGCATGAATTGTGGTGATTCCTCTCACGCAAAGGACGACTGTCCTGTGAAGGAAGATCCTAAGAAATTTAAATGTTCAAATTGTGGTGAAAACCACAAATCCAATTTTTGGGAATGTAAGACTCGCAAAGCGATCCTACAATCTCGTTCTAAGCGACAGGTAGAAAACGCTCAACGTTTCCGATCAGGTACAAATTCTTCTGCTGTTAACAACGGTCAGCGAGGAACAAATTCTACATTCGTACCCGTAGGTACAAATATCACCCCTGCTTCAAATTTTTCATCTGTACCTACTCCCCTTGCTGCTAACAATGTTCAGCGAGTTAATGGAGCTACCTATGCTGCTATTGCAGCGGGTAGAAATCAAAATACTAACCAAAGTAATTCTAACGGAAATTTTGATAATTTTGACTTAGGAAGCATTACTGCCCCTAAAATGGAATTTTTACAGAAATCATTAATTGACATGATTTCTGATATGCTTAAATCTAACTCCATGTTTGATGCTATTAAAACTGGAGTAAAATTTGCAAATAATATTGTCATGACTTTAAAATTCAGTAATGGATTTTAAAGCATTAAATATTGTAAATTGGAATGCTCGATCTCTTAAAGATAATGAAGACGAGCTATTTAACTTTTTGAGAGTTCATAACGTGCATATTGCCGTTATAACTGAAACGTTCCTTAAACCTGACCATAAGGTTAAGAAGGACGCAAATTACTTGATTTATAAAAATGATCGTCTTGATGGACCCTGTGGTGGCGTTGCCATCATTATTCATAGACGAATCAAACATAAAATTCTTTCTTCATTTGAAACCAAAGTTTTTGAAACTTTGGGAGTTTCTGTTGAAACAAAATTTGGACAACTTACGTTTATAGCTGCCTATTTGCCATTCCAATGCGTACGCCAGAAAAAGAATTTTCTCAAGGGTGACCTCCAGAAACTTACCAGTCATAGGTCTAAATTCTTCATTATTGGTGATCTTAATGCAAAACACCGCTCATGGAATAATGCTCAAAGCAATTCCAAT